CCGGCCGGGCTGGGGGGGGCGCGGCGTTTGTTCTTTGCAAAAGACCGGGGTAGGGATTGCGGGGGGAGGGGGGGTCTCTTTGGCGAGGGAGTGGGGGGGCGCCTTCTCCTCCTGCAGGCCAGGCCCAGGGCCGCAGGTACTCTCTCCAGGCCCCAGCACGTGGCGTCACTCTGTCTCCAGGCCCCACCGGGAGGTTGGCACCTGATGGGGGCGCCTCGCCTAGGGCGCACAACCCCCTCGGGCCGGCCCTGCCTGTGGGCCCCACGTTACCTACGGGCATGGAGACACCTCGCACATTTTCTAAATAAATTGCTGCTGGTCACACACATTATAGCATCCTCATCATTTCCCCGTCTAAACTCCCCCCTGTTAATGTTTCTCCATCACTCAAGACTCTCCCTTACCTTAGCAACCACACTCCTCCTTACCGCCTGCCAAGACGAAACCTCTTCACTACGGCTCCTCACATGGGCCAAAAGATCTGAGCCGTCAAAGGTCCGCGTCTGAGAGGAGGCGGAGCCAAGCTGAAGGGGAAAGGAAGCAACGAAATTGGCCGGAAGCTCAGAAGGGAAAGGAGGCTGGTTACCCGGATCTGGTATGCATGGGAGGGAAATTGAGATTCCCCCCCCTCCTTTCTTCCCCCGGAAGGGGTTCTGTTTTCTTACGCTCCTCCTGTTCAACAGTATATATCTCCCGTCACTTGTTCAGATTAAAAGCATAAACTGTCAGCGAAGAGTTTCTTTTGTACCAAAGTTGTCTTCTTTTTGCGCATACTACTGGGTCCTGGGAAGGAGCATCCGCAGTGCAATAAATCAAGGCTAGACTTAGTAAAGCGCCGTAATAATAGTAGCAATTGTTTTTGAAAGCTTTAAGAGGTATCAGTGGACACTGGGTTGATACCGCTGTGATAGGGAAGCCCAGTGGTGACAGTACTGTTAGCCACACAACAAAATAACGTTTATGGGGAATAACAAAACTATTATAGACCACTTTTTTAAGAATTATTTTTTTAGAATTGAGATGGAGTTAACTTCCATGGAAATCGTCTTTAATTTGAAGTATGTGATTACCAGCAACAGTCGCTGATTTTAACGGAAATGTACTCTTATTTTCGCAAGTATTTTAGATAACATTCCTGTTTCTGTAAAGAATGTGTGTGGCCAAAGTCGGAAAAGTATGTTCCATGGGTAGGGTTGCTCATTCCAAGGTTGGAACTTCCTAAAAAATTGGAGGTGGAGCCTGGGGAAGTCAGAGTTTAGGAAAGGGTAAGAGTTTAGCCAGGTCTAATGCCAAAGAGGCCATCCTCAAAAGCAGCCGTTTCTTCATGGGAACTGATCTTCGTAGACCAGTTGTAATTCTGGGAGATCTCTGGGCCCCACCTGAAAATTGGCAAACCTATACATGGGTATAGTTGAAAGAAAAGGTTGTATATATAAGAGTACAGCAATAGATTTTTCTCACTTATCTGACTCAAAATCCAATCCAACAAGGCAATTCTAATGTACCTGCAAAGTTTGCTATGAGATGAATTGTGATTGCTGTAATACCTGCTTTCCTTTCAGAAACAAAAATTATTTCAAAATTCCGTTTAAGTCACAAAAATAACAATTTGTGATTATAAGTGACTTAACTGAAAAAATAAATTTTGTTTGTATAATAAAATGTTAAGATTCTACATATTACATGTCACACACTATGAAAATGCACTTCAAACAGGATATATACTGGCATTATTTTGCCTGATTTGATGGCCAAAGAAAAGTGAGCTCATTTTACCATAGTTCCAACATGTTTCAGTCATTAACTGCAAACCTTTGAGAGGCATGGAATACAGCCCTGATCCATGAAATATCTATGAGTTTATTCATGTACTTCATTATCTTTTATTTGGTTTTACAAAATGAGAAAAATGCTATACGCACAAGGATGTAAGAACCACAGTTCCTCTAGCAAAAGAGCAATAATGTAATTTCTCTTTCAGTTAATAATTATCCATTTTGTTAATATCAAGCATGATATGAAATAGTACTGATTACTTATAAAAGTGTGTATGTATATATAATATTAAAACATTATTGTAATATATATTTGCTTTTATCAATATCCCTGTTTTCTGTTAGAGAAGGTAACCTAAATCAGGTGCACTGATCTACTACCAGAAATATATGGAAAGGAGAAGACAGGATTTTTTAAAATGCAAGTATTTATAAAAAAAAACAAGAATGACCAAGCAACTGAACAAGAAGAGGAATTGTAGGAAACAGTAGCTGGAGAGGAGGTACAATGAATAAATAAATATCTCTAATGTTTTTGTTTCATTTCCAGCATATGCTGCTTAGCCAGAAGAGACAATAATTTATATGAATACAGTAGTATTCATGCTGCTACGGTTGCCAACTTTGGGTTGGGAAATTTCTGGAGACTTAGGGGTAAAGCCTGAGAAGTGTAGAGTTTGGGGAAGGGAGAGACCTCAGTGGGGTATAATGCCATAGAGTCTACCCTCCAAAACAGCCATGATCTTGCTGTCTGGAGATAAGTCACAATTCCATTTCTCCAGGCCCCACCTGGAGGTTGGCAACCAGACGTCTGAGATGAATATGCCTTGGGGAAGAACAACATTAGAATTAATAAAGGTCTAGAAGCAGTGCAAAGCAAGAACTTTATAAGTATATTGTTTTATTAACAAGTGTATTACTAACATTTAGTTTAACCGGGTTATGATCTCTCACTCTTGCGTTTTTAGTTAGTGTGGGTATCTTTCCTTTATCCATAGATGTAGTCCCTTCCCTATTTTTTCTTTGTAGTTTTGTAGTCTATTGAAATTTAATAAAAATACCCCTCCGGGGGTTTCAAAAAAAGAATTAATAAAGGTCAATCAGCAGCATTGCCTACACGAATTGAGACCCCTATTATCATCAGTAATAATGCCACATAATCCAGCCCTAAAGTTTTGCACTGGAATATCTGTGTTCAGTGTTAATGCAGTATTGCTGCAATGCACATGTAATTGCTTATTTACGGGGTGATGGTATATCAGTATGCCTGTTAGCAGACCCTGTAATAAGCACTCCTGTGTTCCTACAGCAAGTCTCGGACCATAAATTTGCCATCCTGTTTCTAATGACAATCAAGCACAGAGTATTGTTATAAGACTTCGCAGTTATATGGGAACACAAGCATGTGCTAAGTGTTCAAAGGGTTCAAGCAGGTTTTACTGATTCCTCAGAATACTATCAAAAGAAACTGGGGGGGGGGGACTCCTAATTCCTCAAATGCCAGGTCTCTGAGCTCAGGCTACTGGAGCTGTGCCCTCTGCTCATTAATTCAAAGTATGTGGGAGTTTGCATGAGTTGAGGGAAGGACCATCGTGCACAATTCAGTTGTAGAATATTACTTCTTATCTGTAAAGAATATCCCATCACTCCATTCAGCAAACTCCAAAGCCTTTCTCCAGCCTGAGGAGCCTTTCTCAAACTTCACTGGTTCTGCTTAAATTGGAGGCAAGCTTCAAGCCATACTGATTTGAATACAGGCCAAAAATCAGCCCACACTTGGATGAAAGATTGGATTACATTAGAAAATTCAAGGACATTAAAGTTGGAAGGTCATGACCTAATATTGGGATGGCATGCTTTTGTTTGGTACCAAAAAAGTGGCAATCATAAATACTTTAAGCAACACATATTGAGAGCAACATTAATAAAGGCATGGGAAGAGGCCCAAAAGATGTTCTATAACAAAATACCAAAGTGGGTCTCACCATTAGAAGCTTTCATAAATCCGATGACTTTTACAAAAGAGCAGCTGTGGAGATATGAAGACTTGCTAGATGACCAAAATAAATTAATTCAACAAGACAAACTTAAGGGAAAAGGCATTTATCTGAACTGGTGGGAAAGGGCACAACTGGATTCTAGATATGTAAAAGATAAAACCATTTGGGTTTTGTGATACACCAGTACAATTGGATAAAATTCTGTTATGCTCTGATGGGAGGTATATAAAATTGTTTTATATGTCGTTATTAGACATAATAATTGGACATAATAATCTGGTCCATGGGGTCGCAAAGAGTCGGACTCGACTGTGCAACTGAACAACAACAAAAATTAGACATAAAAATGCAAGACACAGTTGTAAAAGATTCAATGATTAAGTGGGCACGAAATATAGGTCATAATATACAAATAGAACAATGGTCCGAGGTATGGAAAGTTAATATAAAATTTACAAAAGCCACTTCATATAAAGAAAACATATATAAAATGATTTATAGATGGTATATGACACCTGAAAATTTAGCTAAATGGTATCCAAATATGTCAAATATATGTTGGAAATGTAAACTAAGCACTGGTTCTTTTTACCATATGTGGTGGACTTGTAAGGTTGCAAAAAAATATTGGCTATGGATACATGAGGTATTACAAAAAATATTAGATACAAGTATACCATTTATACCAGAATTGCTTTTATTAAACATGGTACCACAGAATTACAAGAAACAAGGTGTATATATGATTATATAGGTTGTAACAACTGCTGGAATATTGTACACAAAGTATTAGAAAAAAGAAGAAATGCCAACAAAAGAAGAAATAATCTACAAACTTTTGGAAGCAGCAGAAATGGATAAATTGACTTTACAATTACAAGGAAAAAAAGAAAAAATCTTTGAAAGAAACTGGGTGAGATTTTATAAATGGATTGAAAGTTATCTTGGAAAACTACCAACGTGACTGTAAAATAGAAAGAGAACTGTTATAAGATTAGATGCTTAATTGAGACAGGTGTACAGAACTTTATTTGATTTTAAAGTGTTACACTAAAACTGAAACGAGTATATGCTCCATTGTTGTTAGTTGTTAGTTGCTTTTCTGTTATATGTATTTCTTTTTTCTGTAGTCGTCTGTTTCTATTCTTGCTAAAACTAATAAAAACTTTATATGATAAAATGAATACAGGACAAAAATCTTGAGCAAAGGTGAGAAAGGGTAAGGCTAAGTAGGTGTGATCAAAGGAGGAGTGGAAGGGCTAGTAGGCCACCTACCAGCATGAGAGGTTTCTTCTGCTCATCCCGCTGCTGCCAAGCTATTACAAGCCATTATTCAAGCACGTTCAGACAGAAATGAGAAATTTTTCATATATACGTTATGGTTGTAATTCTCTAGTGCACAGGGTGAACTGTATGTGTAGAACAGGGCTTCCTTGTCTTGGAGAGCCAGCTGTATTTGACAGGCTACTTCTGAAATGCAGGGAAATTTAAAATCAGTTTGTGATACAGCGCAAGGGAGCTGCTGTCAGCGAGGGGAAAAATCAGGACTCCCAGACTGCATTCATGCAGCAATCTCACATGTTCAAAGGGTTTGTGGACAGTGTATTTTTGCCTCTGGGTCTTCTAAAATTAATGTATTGCTCTTAAAATCCCAAAACAGGATTGATTGAACACTAACATTCAATAATGAGACCAGATCATTGGCAATAGAAATGATGCATAATGAAGCATTTAGCTATTCAGTGGACAGTGCTTATACTACCTATAAGTTGTTCACAGAATTTATTATTTCAAATAATGCCTTGTATATTGTTTTTTTCTGCTTTACTAAAATGGTTAATGTGTTAAACTAACTCAAGATGGCGGCTGAGGCAGACGCTTGATATCGAGCTCCACGTTTTATCTACTGTTTTTACCTACTGTTTTGTTCTTCCTCGAAGTTGGAAGCTGGAAGGAGGACGGGGTGGATGGCCCTTTTTTCCTCTGTACAGTGAAACTGTTTTATCCTGTTTTATCCTTTTCTATCTAACTGCAGCAATTGTTTTAGCTGATTAGGACATCGTACTGAGGTTAATGTGTTGATTAAAAATTACAGGATACAGAAATTACAAGACCAAGCATTTTGTGACAAGTCAGCCATGCACAAATGCTATCTTAACCCTTGCATTCTGTAACTTCCCGGTAGCCTCCCACATTCTTTGAAACAGTTATTCTAATTTCAGGCAGGGGAACCCATTATGCAGGTTAACCTTTTCTTAGACATGTCTAAGATTTATTTTAAAAGTTCCTGCATTGCGTTAAGAGTAGATCCTCGATACCCTGTTCCAAAATGATTCCAGTGGTTAACATAGTTAAATAACTGGTAAAGCTTGTTGCGTTTCTCAAAGCCTGGAGCTTTGGGAATTTTGCTGTGATAAGTGGAGAAGAAAGAGCTGCTGAAGCCACCAAACATCATAGCAATTGCAAGTTCAAATTCTGAATGGCCGTAGAAACAAGCAGGATCAAAGACAATTGGGCCAGAGTTATCTTCAGCTACATTTCCTGCCCACAGGTCCCCATGAATGAGGGCAGGAACAATCTCTAAGTCACAAAACATCTCTGGAATCTTTGGCTGTAAAAAGCAGAACAAGTTTTTAAACATCAGAAAATTTCCCTATGAGAACCAGAATATGAGAAAAATAAAGGGCCCTCAAAAAACACATAAAGCATATGCATACCAAGTCCTGAATGTTGTTACCTTCTTACTGATTTTAATCTCAGTTTGTATGTTTTGTATATTACAGGTTGGATATGGTTTCCTTCTGCAAAGCTGGATCCAGGAGCTCGCTTCCACTTAAACTTCAACTGACATCACCAATAGAGGAGGTCTTTCTCCAACAATGGAAGTCTTGGCAGAAGAGGGTTATTGGATACAACTTCATGGAAGGGAATCATTGGATCCAAATCAATGGGTTGGATGCCACACTTTTTTTTTTTTTGCTCAAACTCAGCTAATTCTTTTCCTTAAAATAGACCCTGTCCCATCTGCCTTTTGTTCATGCATCCAGTGATGTAGTTAAAGGACACGCCCTCCATTTTTCACCAGCAGAAAAGTTGGCTCCAACCCTAAGTTCTGCTATTTTGATTATCAAGTTTGGGTCCCTTGCTATGATTTCCTCTGATAGACTAATGGGTAGTCCAAGACTTGACCAAAAAATGAAGTTAATGTTTCTTAATAGCCAAGACACTTTTCCCCCTTGCCTTGGTCTTTGCTGCTGATCAAACCCAGGAAAGGTGAAGTTTGAAGCAAATCTGAATACAAAGTCAGACTGAGGCAAAGATCCATTAGCTTAGCTGATCTACAAGCACTTCTCTGTGAAGGCATCAGTCTTCCATGTGGATGTGCATGGATCAAGGCAGTTGCGCCATTGGAAATGTAATGCAAAAATCACTGGTTCTGCTGCCTGTTGTAGGACCCTATGTCTTCTCTTGCATGTTTGTAAAACAATATACCACAAATATCTCTAAAACTCTGCCATGCTACCCTTGTCTGGGGACACATGACAAAAGAGCAACACAGTTTTGTTACCAGCCCTGAGTTTTTAATGTGATAACTAGAAATGTATTTCAGTAATGGAAGAATGCGTGGAGCATCCTAACAACAAATCTAGGGAGCAGGGAACATAGGGATGTAGTTTGTTTGAGCCATCCAAATATGTAATAGTTAGTATAGCAATGGGATGTTATGCAGAAGAACAAAATGGAGACCACAGCTCTATTCATGACAGGACAGTCAGGCGAGGCTTCCAGTGGGGATGTAATGACAGGCTGATGCCTTCACAGAGAAGCGGAGACATAACACAGCTAAATACTGGGAAGGAGAGGATTCCTGCCGGCAAAATCTCCATAGACCAAAAGGATCAGAGATCAACCACACGTACTCCATAGGTTGCTCTGGGAGTTTTCTGCAGAAACAGAAACTTTTGCAGCTGGCTTTTTTGAGTCTGAGAGACCTGGGGTCCTGGAATTTACAACTTTGCTCACAGCTGCATTTGGAGTCTTGATAAGGATACAAAGTCTGACTACACCCACTTCTTAAGATTTATGGATATAACTATCTTCAGACAAAGAGAGATTTTCTTGACTACAAAAACGCAACAACTTGCTATGAGGTAACCTCTTTGGGGGGATTATAGAAATTTTCAAATGATTTATGGAATTAATAACAATTGGCAAAAAAAACTTAATTAAAAGGAGGAAAGTTTAAAGCTTCAACAGTGAAGGGAACAATTATTTTCCCCCATAAATTTTTACCTCTAATTTTATTTTGTGATTAATGTGCATATGTTGTAAAGTTCCTAGCTGTGAAGAGAAATCTGTTGTGAGATTGTTTTTCTATTTACCTTAGAGGACCATTTGTAATTGGGTGAAAAAAGCAGGTTGCTTACCAGTAACTGGTGATCTTCGAGTGGTCATCTGTGCATTCACACCCATGGGATCTAGTGCGCACACACTGGATCGATCGGTGCTGTAGCAAGCTCTTTTAACGGATTTTTGCACCCAGTCCCTCGGGCATGCACAGGAACCCCACCGCACATGCCCAGAGGGGTGGGCGCGGACATCCCGCCAGTTCCTACAAACCGCCGCAAATCAACCCCTATTCAAAAATGTAGAAACTGACAGCAGCGGGGGAGGAGGGCGGGTGGTGTGAATGCACAGATGACCACTCAAAGATCACCAGTTACTGGTAAGCAACCTGCTTATCTTCGACGTGGTCTCTGTGCTTCACACCCATGGGAGATTAGCGAGCAGTAGCCTACCTGGAGGAGGGTGCTGGCAGGTCTTTTACTGCGTTGCTGAAGATAGAATGCGACATCCCATGTTGGTATTAGAGTTCTTCCGGACGTCTAGGGCGTAGTGCCTGATGAAGGTGTTAGGCGTAGCCCAGGTAGCGGCTTTACAAATGTCCGGTAAGGGTACTCCCTGAAGGAAGGTAGTGGAAGTCGCGACAGCCCTGGTAGAATGAGCCCTGATAGGGCCAGGCAATGGCTGTTTAGCGAGTAGGCAACATAGATGGATCAGACCTACAATCCACTTCGACAGGCGCTGAGCCGTGATGCGAGTACCTAGCCGTGGAGAAGCGTACGAGATGAATAGTTGTGAGTCTCGTCTAGTTGGGAGTGTTCTGTTGATGTAGAACAGGAGAGCGCGTTTCACGTCTAAAGTGTGTAATAACTTTTCTTCTGCTGATGATGGATTTGGGAAGAAGTCAGGAAGGAAGACCTCCGCCTGCAGGTGGAACTCTGACACCACCTTCGGCAGGACGGAGATGTCTGGGATGAGGCGGACTCCGTCTGGCAGGAACGACAGGAAAGGGGTATCATGGTGGAAGGCCAACATTTCTCCCACTCGTCTAGCCAAAGTAATGGCAATTAAAAAGGCTGTTTTCCATGCCAGGAGTTTGAGGTAGCATGTTGCAAGCGGCTCAAAGGGCTTCCTCGTAAGCTGATGGAGAACGAGGGGAAGGTCCCAAGGAGCGACTGGAGTTTTAACAGGAGGGTACAGGTGTAACATACCCTTTAAAAATCGTTTTGAAATAGGATGGGAAAACAACGTACATCTGTCAACTAGAACATGGTAGGCCGAAAGGGCGGCCAAATAAACTCATAACGATGAATGGGAAAGTCCCGAGTCAGCTAGGGTGAGGAGGAATTGGAAGACTCGTTCGAGACCCACAGAGGTGGCTCAAGGGGCGTAATCTCCAAGCGAAGAACAGGACCTACGCCATTTATAATTGTCGGACCTCCACGTAGTGGGTTTCCTGGAATTCAACAGGACATTCCTTACACGGGCGGAGAAGCCGGTGTCATTATCCTCCATGCCATCAATTTCAGCTGTGGTATGTCGTGATGTAGGACGGGGGAGTCGGAGAGGAGGAGGAGGTCCCGAGCCGGAGGGAATTGATGATAAGTTCCCTGTGATAGCTCGAGGACTGTTGAAAACCAAGGTTGTCTTGGCCACCATGGAGTTATTAAGATACAGTCCACGGCGTTGTTGAGAATCTTGCGGACTAATCTCAGAAGCAGAGATAAGGGGGGGAACAGGTAAAGGAGTCCCATAGACCAAGGGTAAAGGAGGCCGTCTCCCAGAGATTGTGGGTCTTTGCCTCCTCGACTACAGAACAGAGGACACTTTTTGTTGTTTCGTGTGACAAACACGTCGACTTGGGGAACTCCCCACGTGGAAGAGTGGGAGGAGGTATGTTGGGTTCATCCCCCACTTGTGGAAGCTGAGTCCCGCTCGACTTAGGTGGTCTGCCTGCACGTTCATGTGACCGGGAATGTGAGTGGCCACAAGGAATATATTGTTGGCGATGCATAAGTCCCACAATTGGATGGCAAGGTTGCATAGGCGAAGGGATACTGTGCCTCCCTGCCTGTTGACGTAGGAAAGTGCTGTGGTGTTGTCCGTGAGGACCATGACACATTTTCCCTTGATCAACGGTAGGAAGCTGGCTACAGCATGTAGTATAGCCAGCAGTTCTAGGAAGTTTATGTGATGCTTCCTCATCCGTGCGTTCCATTTGTCTCCAACAGAGAGGCCCCTGGAGTGTGCACCCCATCCTGTCAGGGAAGCATCCATCGTTATGGTGACCTCGGGTGACAGAGGGTGGAAGGGCGCTCCCTGGAGGATATTCAAAGGGAGAGTCCACCAAAGTAAAGAGTCCTGTATGCTGGGCGGAGGGGATAGGACGACAGTGTGTGCGTTTTTCGACTGGTCATAGTTGTGGATGAACCAGAGTTGTAAAGGGCGCATTTTTAGTCTTGCAAAGACGAGAACTGATGTAGTTGCAGCCATCAGGCCAAGCAGCCCCTGAATTTGGTAGGCAGTGACAGAGGTTTGGGTATGGACGACGGTGGCTAAGGAGATGATCTCTGTTGCCCTGTTGTGGGGCAGGTAAGCCATGCATGTCTCATAATCCAGTATTGTGCCGATGTACTGTATGCGCTGGACCGGACACAATTGGGACTTTTGCCGATTGACTAGCTGGCCCAGACTGTCCAGCAGTGCTAGAGTTTCTGTGACATTGTAGACCAAGGCATTTCTGGGAGGTGCTACCAGAAGCCAATCGTCTATATATGGGTAGATGGAGTTACCCTGGAGACGGAGGAAAGCTGCAACCACAATCATAGTTTTTGTGAAGACCCTGGGGGCGCTGGACAGGCTGAACAGAAGGGCCATGTACTGGTAATTCTGTTGACCAATCGCAAAGTGTAGGTATTGGCGGTGGAAGGGGTGGATGGTAAGGTGGAAATATGCGTCTTGGAGGTCTAGGGTGGCCATCCAGACGTGTCTGCGAAGCAATGGCATGTTCTGTTGTAGGGACACCATGCGGAAGCGGTGGTAGGTCACAAAACGATTCAGTTCCCTGAGATCTAATATGGATCAAACGCCTCCGTCTCTCTTCGGGACTGTGAAGTATCAGGAATAAAATCCCATCCCTTGGAGGTGTGGTGGTACACGTTCAATGGCTCCCTTCTGCAGAAGGACGGACACCTCCTCGAGGAGAGGTGGGGAAGGGGGCATGGATACGACGACAGGAGTATTGGGGTTCTGTTGGAACTGAATTTT